GCCAGGTAGGCTGGGGCCAGACCCAAGCGGGTCAGGCCGGGACGTCCCTTGGGACGTGGTGCTCGCTCGGGTCTGGAACACGGACCGCGGCGCGTGTGTGTGGGGTAGGTCTCTGGGGAGACGGGAGCGACCCGGGTCCCAGACAGGGTGGTGACCGGTAATGACCCGGTCGGAGGACGGGGTGACTCGGGAATACCCAGGACACAGTTTGGGTTCGAGGGCGAAGGGGAACCCTAGAAGTCGGGGAGCGGCCGAGCCGAGTGCTGGCGGGGGGTGAGGGGAGGGGGGTCGGGAAACTGGGAGGGGCCCGGGTTCGAAGGAGATGGGAGACGGAGGGCGGCGGGGGTCCGAGATGACAGGGAGCGACCTGAGTGAGTCCTAGCGAGGGCGTAGAGGAATGGCGGGGAGCGGGTGGGAACCCCCCTGAGCATCCGTAGCAGTCGGAGGGCGGAGGACTCCGGGGAGTTAGGGAGCTGCGGGTCTTGGGAGGGTCGGTCCCGTGGAGACCTCGAACAGCTTGGGGCGGAACCGGAGCGCCCTGCCCCCCCACCGCTGGTCTGGGATGGGGGACTCAAGGCTGAACTGGCAACTGCTGGGTCTGAGTATCCCCGGACACGGGGTGGGGCGGGGGATCCCCGAGGAGTAACTCGGGTTTGCGACTGGGGTGAGAGGTCCAGCCGGGGAGTGGAGGCTCTTTGAGTTAGGAGTCTGGCTGAACCACCAGCAGGTGGGCGGGGAGAAATAATTTCCTTGTGGGAAGGGAGGAGAAGGTGGGGCGGAGCAGGGGCGAGCCAGTTGCTCCGGAGGAGAGCAGTGGTCTCGTGGAACTGGCCAGGAGACGAGGGGCATGAGCAGCGAGGTCATTAATAAGCTCTAAGGACTGCAGAGAGAGAAGAAACCTCAGCTTCCTAATGCGAAGGTGCCATCCAGAACCAGAGAGAGGGTCCTGAAGGCAAGGGGGAAGGGACTCGCCTTCCAGTGTTTTAGACAAGAAATTTGTTTTAGGGATGACAGCGGTAATATTAGAAAATAGGGACGTTGACAGGACGGGGGCATTTGAAAGAGGAAAGGGGAGGACTATGAAGAAGTAGGACTGGGGACTTGAACAGAGAGAGGGGAGACATGCAGAGGAGGGGCGCACCCTTGCCAAATTAGAAATACGTTTGAATTCTAGTTCCACCGCTTAGCTTAGACAACTTCACCTCTCTGTGCAAAGGTTTTCTCATCTGTATAATAGGGATGATAGTAACTTCTACTTTATAGGTTTGCATTTTTCACACGAGTTAATATTGGTAGGACTTGTAGAATAGTGACTGGTACAGAGTAAGCGTGTGTCCTGGATTTTTAAATAGAGGATGAAGACAGACCAGAGTTCTTTAATGAGGTGGTTCTCAAACTTTAGCTTGCACCGGAATCACCTGGGGGGCTTGGTAAACGACACACGGCTGGCCCCAGGGTATTTCTGATTCAGTAGGTCTGGGTGGGGCTTGAGAATTTACATTTACTTCAGGTGATGCTTAAGTTGATCCACTTTAAGAACCACTGTTTTTTATTTATTTGTTTATTTATTTTTAATTCTAACCAGAGGATATTTTTCTTTTTCTTTTTTTAAGAGTGGAAAGGATGGGGAGAGACAGAGAGAGAGAGAGAAATTTAGATGTGAGATTGACTGGTTGCTTCCTGGGCCGGGGATTGAGCCTGCAACCCAGGTACGTTTCCCTGACTGGAATGGAACTGGGGACCCTTCAGTCAGTGGGCCAATGCTCCATCCAGTGAGCCAAACTGGCTGGGGCAGGAACCACTGCTTTAAATGAAAACAATAATATTGTGGCAACCTTAAAATACCTGTCTACCCTGCTAGGGTCAGAGGCATATTGCAAAAAAGATCTTAATCTAAGGGGCCCTCTATTTTAAGCTTGTTTTTCTAACTGTGGATCATGATTTACTAGTAATTTATCAAATCAGTTTTTAGTGGCTTACACTATCCCCTGTAGGGGGTGTGCAGGAGTCAGCCAATGGATATTTTGCTCTCACATCGGTGTTTCTCTCTTTCTCCCTTCTCTCTAAAAAAAAGAAAAGAAAAGAAAATGAAATAGATGAACAGAATTGACTAGCATTGCACTTGGTAAGGAAAAGTATTGTTTTGGGAAATTTCTCTCATACATTTGTGTAGTAGGTCACAATGTAAAATGTATTTCTGACAGTCACAAGACTGAAAAACTGTCTTGAGCCATACAGTGCAGCAAAAGCAGCCCCTCAGTAGGGGTATTTAGGGACTGGGTTTATTATTTCTTTGTCTTCTGTTTGTGCTAATTCTTTCTCAGGTTGTGATAAATTCTATTAAATTTCTTCAGTTTCTGATTTTATTTCTTCTGTGTTTGCCTTATCACATATCGTGTTGTACCTCTTTTTAGATATTGAGACTCTTTGGCATGAGAACTTAAGGGAGGTTGAGGCAGAGAAATGAAATTGGTGTTTTTCAGATGTGATGTGGCACACTTTGTTTCACTTATGCCTCCTTGTTTACCCTTTCTTTTTTACCACCCTACTGTAAAGTATTGTTTGTAAAAAACCCTAAATATACACAGACATATTAAATATTAACACTGATATGGACTGGTTTGAGAACAGTATATATATAGAAAATAAAAACCAAGTATGACACATTTCAAAAGAGAAAAGTGAAAGGGTGTTTGGTTTTTAGAGTAAAAGTATCTTAGAACTGTTCATGGCCTTACACTAATACAAAACATAATAGAAAAGCGTCTTAAAATATTTTTATTTTTTTAAAAATATATTTTTATTGATTTCAGAGAGGAAGGGAGAGGGAGAGAGAGATAGAAACATCAATGATAAGAGAGAATCATTGATTGGCTGCCTCCTGCACGTCCCCACTGGGAATCAAGCCCACAACTTGGGCATGTGCCCTGACTGGGAATGGAACCATGACCTCCTGGTTCATGCTCAACCACTAAGCTGCACCTAGATGGGCTAGGAAAGCATTTTTAAGGGAACCAGATATATTTCACTGTGTATTTTAGATTTTTGGAGAGAGAAGAAATAGTGATGAAGCATGCAACAGACTGATGTACTAGTATTTCAGAGAGAAGGGGGCAGTGGGAAGAGGTTAACCAAAGAATTTATATGCATACTAGAGGCCTGGTGCAGGACATTCGTGCATTGGTTGGTGGGGAGGGGGTCCCTCAGCCCGGCCTGCACCCTCTCGCAGTCTGGGAGCCCTCAGGGATGTGTGACTGAGGGCTTAGACCTGCTCCTTGTGGGCAGTTGGACATCTTTTTTTAAAATCTTGTTTTATTGCTTAAAGTATTACAAAGAGTATTACATATGTCTCCTTTTTTTCCCCCCTTGACATTCCCCCGGCCTCCCCTACCCCTCAGTGTCTTGTGTCCATTGGTTATGCTTATATGCATGCATACAAGTCCTTCGGTTGATCTCTTTGATTTTTCTATAAAAACTAGGTGGTTTATTATTTGGAGAGAGTTTATTTAGATCTGTTTTTATGGGTATAAGAACAGAGAAAGCAGCATTGAAAACAGATTGTTGCATCTCTCTTTAAAATTTTAATCTAGTGGATTTATGTAACCCTTTCATTAATGTTTTGTGAAATTGTGAAGAAACTATTGATGAAGCTTTGCAGTAGGATGTTAAGATAATTTTTTCTCTCAAATTATTTGTAGTTTTATTTCAGATTTTTATGTTTTGTTAAAATTTTTATTTTTGTTTGGAAGATTGCAAAACAGTCATTGCATGTTTGAGTTGAAAATCATAAGTAATCTTTTCACAACACAAATTTACTAATTTTGGGGAACAAAGGTTCCAAGGATGAAAGCTTTTGAATTCCTTTCATTGAGTTAAATGTAGCATCACTACCACCAAAATGATTATTCTTTAAATTAGTGGTCGCCAACCTTTCGGACCTCACGGATCACCAGTGGTTCACGGACCACCGGTCTGCTTTAAATCATTATACAGTTGGTGGGCACATTTGTTAGATCATTCAGTTCTTTACTAACTGTTGGAGGAATGCAAAATCTTAATAATCAAGTGTGGGAAAATGTAAAAGCTCATCCTTATAATATTAAGCATTGACTTGTTTGATTACTTCTGTTTTATTTTTCTTTATTGAGAGAGAGAGAGAGAGAGAGAGATATGACTTGTTGTTCATTTATGTATTCATTGGTTGCTTCTTGTATGTATCTTGACTCCATCAAACCTGCAACCAGGCATATCCGGACAATGATCTAACCAACTGAGCTACCTGGCCAGGGCTACTTACTTTTCCTTTATTTTTTCTTACATATTTTTATTGCTTTTTAGAGAGAAAGTGAGAGAGAAACATTGTTGTGAGAGCTTAACATGTCTACTTCCTGAATGCCCCCCATCAGGGATCAGGCCCATAACCTGGGCATGTGCCCTGACTGGGCATCAAACTGGCAATCTTTTGGTGCATGAGACGAGGTCCAACCAACTGAGCTAACACTGGTTACGGCTACTTACTTGCTTCTCAATAAATGGACTTTAGTCAGTTGACTTATCCATAATTTAATCATACTTATCTATGAATAGCTTTGCTTGCTCAACTCATTTTACAGTGAGATTTCTTAATCAGTAGTGGTTTTTCAATACCAAAGAAACTGTGTGCTCCAGATGGCACAATTTAAATCATTTTAAATGAGACTCAATTTTACATATCAAAGATTATTCATGTAAATGATTTTCAAAAGTGGAATTCAATTAACAGTTAATTAAGTTTATTTTTTATTTC